TTATTTTATATATCATTGTTTTTTTTGTTTTATTTTTTTTTTGTTAATTTTTTTTTTTAACAAAAATAGTGTTTTTTTTAAAAATACATTTTTTTCCAAAAAAAAAAAAAAAAAAAAAAAAAAAAAAAAAAAAAAAAAAAAAGCTAGCCACATACAAGCTATCCTTATTCCCGACACCAAGCCTTCAAACTTCATATATGCTGTCACATTCTCTCATTTCCAATTAATACCTTAACCCTCTTACTAAGTACCAAGTAGTTAAGGGGGGTTGGGCGTATCGTGTATCTACAGTACATACCCAAAGCGTACCTAATAAACAGAGCCAGAAACAGAAACACCATCCATTCTCTCTTAGCACACATCCTAACCTCAAGTTAGTCCGGTTGTCGTTTTATTACAAGAAGTTCTAGGTCTATATAATACAGGCCGGTACAGCGCGTGCGCGCGCGCGCTCGCGTGCTCGAGCTCTGAGCCGTAACAGATGTGTGTATCAATGCAAGTCTTGCGCCCAGCGCCCAGCGCCCGTGTCAATCCATTTGTTTGTCTCTTCCGTTATGCATGCACGCGTGTATCGCAGTCAATCATTTATAACCATTCAAATGCGTCTCGTCTCGTCTCTTCTCTTCTTTACTTCGCCATGACATCCACATAGCGCCCGCCCTTCTTCGCCTTCTTGGGCCCCTTCCTCGGTCCAGCCGCTCCGAGCAGGTCATCTATGCTGCTCGCGTTACTTAAGCTGGTAGCCGGTCTGCTAGGCGGTGCGCTGGGTGGCCCGCCTGGGGCGCTATTGGTGCTTTGACCCGAAACAGACCGCATCATAGGCGGTGCGCCACCGGGAACCGCGAGGTTATCGTGGGACATAGCACTTCTTAGTAGGGTAGGTGCGGGTGTAAGCTGTGCACGAGGAGGGCCAGCAGGAGGGGCGGATGTAGACCCCGGTGGCGGCGGAGTGCCGTTACGAGAAGCGGCGCGAGGGGGAGGCGGAGTTGCTGCCTTAACAGGAGTGTTCTCTGCTCCTGGTTTCTTGTTGACCCAGCGCTTGAGTTCTGGGTCGTATACGAAGCTACTTGCTTCGCCAAGTTTAGCCTTGATGGGCTTATTGGCTGGCTCGAGCGACTCCTTTTTGCTACCACCACCAAACCAACCTCCGAAGCCCCAGCCTTTCTTAGCTGATTTTGCCTCTGCGGCACGTTTTTCTAAAAGATTATTAGTTTCATATTGACAAGAGGTGTTATTTCGGTACTCACCCTCTTCTTCGGCAATCTTCCTAACCATCTCCGCATTCTCCCGGTCTATTTCCTCCTTGCTCTTTCCTTGGGGCTTCAAAGCGGGAATGTCATCCTCGTCGTCATCGAAGAAGCTCTTCTTCTTGGGCTTTGGCTCGGAGGGAGAATCGCCTTCGTCGTCAGCTGGACCCGGCTCGTAGGATGGGGGCTCAAAGCTAGATGGTTGGTATGAGGGCGGCTCGTATCCGCCCGATTGACTTTCAGATTGAGTAGCTGGTGCTTCGTAAGTATTTGTTGATGGTGGCTCATATCCGTATGAAGGAGGTTGGTAGCCTTGCGTCGCGCTCGTATCATTGGCCGAGGCTGCTGGTTTCGACTCTGTAGGCGAGACTTGCTGCGACTGAGAAACATCGGGATTCGGCGAAGTTTGTGCACCTCCATATGGGTTGTAACCCGGGAATGAAATTCCGATGCCCGTAGCTTGTGTCGAGTCTGAAACTCGAGAGACCGGCGTATATGGAGATGTTTGAGAGGCAGCCGGTGCCGAAGGTTGATATGCGGAGGTAGTTGAATGGTGCGAGGGGGCATAAGGACTTCCGTACGCAGACTGCATATCTGACCCTCGTCTTGCTGGTAGCTCAAAAGAGCTTCGTGTAATCTCGCCCGACGTCCTTTCCATTGAAGACCTCGGTGCTGGGTTGTAAGAAGCACTGGAGTCGTACGGATTACCCGAAGACTGAGGTGCTGCTGGTGCATAGCGGGAAGCAGCCTTGTTAGCCGGGAGGGTAGGAGATAGATTTCCGTTTCCGTATGCTTCGAAATTCGTAACGGAAGGAGACCGACTGATTGATGGTGTCCCGCCTGCAAGACGAGCAAACGGACCAGATTCGGCACCAGCCTCACCTGATGCGGCATTACCGGAAGCATCGTCGTCATCGCCAGCAACGAACTTGTTAAAGCGGCTCCACATGTTGTTAGATACTTGGTCCATCCTAGGCTTCGGGATCCATGAAGATGACTCCTCCCTTGGAGCTTGTTTCAACCTCCTCATGAGGTCATCCACGGCTGACTCCAAAATAGGGTGGTAGTAAGGCGACCTCTTT